TTTTATAACATTGGCCCAATGAGAAACTGCTTCAAACAATGAAATTATAAACTATCTTGGAAATTTTGTTTTTAACGGACTATTTGAAGTCAGATTCTGGTTTTAAGTGAGTCTCCTTCTTTTGCCTTTGTTTTGTATGATATATATTTAATGTCTATCCTATGTAATGTGTAAATATATAATGGCAAAATCCAGTGCCTTAACAAAGCATAGCAATTATATATTAAGCAGAAGCCCAGTGCATGAATTCGTGCACGGGTGGGGCCTGGCTGGCCCGCCCTGATTGGGGCTGATCGGGCTGGGCTGGCCTAGGGGAGAGGCCTCGGGCAGTTGGCCAGCCAGCCCCACCCCCTGGTTGAACTCATGGTTGAACTCCTAGTCGAAGGGACAATTTGCATATTAGCCTTTTAATGTATAGGATAAATACATACTTATTAATGAAGGTCCCAATTTTAAATAACTTAGAAATAATTCATGTAAGAATGTATTCTGATACTGGAATCCTGCTTGCCCAAGAAATTGACACGTATTTGTTTTATCTGTGGCAATATAAACACATTTTCTGAAAGCCAACTCAAAATAAGAAGTTATATCCAACCAACAGTGATTAGATTTGATAATGCAAATGTGAACTGACTTCTAAATAGCAGAGGTACAGATTTTTCTGCCAGAAGCTGGTCCATCCTTGCTGCTTGACACAGTCGCTGCAGGGAAGAAACATCTGAACAGCATATGTTTCAAGGGACCTGGCGTATATGGCATACTGTTCTTAATATGTTTGCTCCCCTTCTTGGCGCTATGTGTTTTAACCAAGGTCACCTCTCCGAGAAAGGTTGTTTCCCCAGGTAGGGATTTTCCCCTGAAGTTAGGGAGGGAATAAAACCCCTTAACTAAGTGCCAGGCGGGTAGTTAATCACTTTAACTACAAACAATCATCCTTAAGCTACATAATCTTTACTCCCTGGAATGGAGATAAGAAACGCCCTAACCTTTGGAATAGAAATTGATAGGATTAAAATCAACTGGTATAAATACAGATGTAACAAGACAATAAAGGACAGAACTTGGCTGGAGATCCTGGCTAGGCTGCTGATCAACTGAACGCTGTCTCCGTGTCATTCCTTCTTTGCCAACTCCATCCACACCTTTGGGGACCCCTGGACCTGCTGGGGTTGGACCCCAACATTTTTCCTTCCTCCAGTTAAACATATATCCTTTCTATGCTATATAAATACACAAACACACACATATAAATAATATCCTGAATAATACATTCTGGAAGTGAACCTCTTATCATTTTAGTTTAGTTAGTGCCATCACAAAGGAAAGAAAAATTAGGGCATCTGCTCAAGGCAAGTAAAATTATTTTTTTACATATATTACTAGTAAGTTTTACTTTTTATTTCACATGATTTCTTTAGTCTAAACATTTTATCATTGTGTTTGCCTTTTTGCATGTATATAAAATGTTTATGGTTTTCTTATTGTTGTTCATTATGGGTACTCCCCCGCCACCATACCCATACCAGAGCCTTTGAAAGAAGACATGCCTGCATCCAAAAAGTACTAGTTCCTTTCCTATCTCCAGAGTGTTATAGGTAACAGTGTTGGAGAATTCTATAAGTATAGGTAACTATGGGCATAATAACATCAATGAAGAGCTTTTGTGCTTTAATGTTTTTCTTTTGCTAATTGTTTTTTCTTTCTTTTTCTTTTTCGGTCCCATGATTCTTGTTATCTTTATGAACTCAGGGTTCAAGGTGTCAGCTAAAATACTCATGGTCTTCACTAAGTGAACTTGATTGCCACTAGCCAATTGGCTTGTTTGTATTGGTCCAGGTCAATAAAGTGATAAATCCTTATTCAAGAATGGGTGTCTTATATGAAAACACACACACACACACACACACACACACACACACACACACACACACACACACACAACAACAGGTCTTATGCTAAGTTTTAGAATGAAATGCCCAGGAGTCAAATCTTTAGTGGTTCTATAGCCTACACAAATTCTTATGCATTAAATGCAAGTGTGACATATTTTGCTCTTTCAATTATTTTCTTAGGCACATACTTGTGACTTTAAATCACTCGAGTATTGATATCTGAATGTTCAATGTCTATAATATCTGTAAGCTCATGTCTACAATTCCTCTCTCAACTTCACTGGAATTTTTAAAAATATGCATTATGTATATTTTATTTTATTTTTAAAATATTTTTATTGATTTCAGAGAGGAAGAAAGAGGGACAGAGAGATAGAAACTTCAATGATGAAAGAGAATTTTTGATCAGCTGCCTCCTGCATTCCCCCTTCTGGGGATTAAGCCCATAACCCGGGCATGTGCTGTGACCGGGAATCAAATCATGACCTCCTGGTTCATAAGTCAATGCTCAACCACTGAGTCACACTGGCCGGGCCATTATGTATATTTTACATTTAAAGTTATTACACCTCTGGCCAGTTAGCTCAGTTGGTTAGAGTGTTGTCCCCAATATGCCAAGATTGTGGGTTTGATCCCTGGTCAAGAAACATAGAAGCAGCAGCAAATGAATGCATAAATACGAGGTGTACCAGTTAATAATGCAGATTTTTTTCAATTGATGGAGTTACACATATGTTGACATATATGCGACTTGATATGTATGCTATTTTGTTGTATTGATAGCAAGCTTCAAAACTTCATATGTCAAATTTGCTGAAGGTGTTAACATCATAGATATTTTTACGCTTAAAAATGTCGAATTTCGTGCCAAAAAAAGAGCATTTGCGGGAAGTTTTAATTCATTATTTTGAAGAAAAGTGCTGCTGAAAGTTATCATATACTTCGGGAAGCTTATGGTGAACATGCTCCATCTCTAGATACTTCTGAACGCTGGTTTAAACGCTTTAAAAGTGATGATTTCGATGTGAAAGACAATGTCCAGGTCAACTGAAAAAGTTTGAAGACCAAAAATTACAAGCATTATTGGATGAAGATGCATGTCAAACTCAAAAACAACTTGCAGAAAGATTAAACGTTGCTCAGCAAACCATTTCTGATTGTTTACAAGCAATGGGAAAGATTTTAAAGGAAGGAAGATGGTTGCCACATCAACTGAACGCAAGACAAATGGAAAACCAAAAAGTCATCAATAAAATGTTGCTTCAACGGCACAAAAGAAAGTCTTTTTTGCATCGAATTGTGACTGGTGATGAAAAATGGATTTATTTTGAGAATCCCAAACGCACAAAATCATGGGTTGATCCAGGGCAACCATCAACATCGACTGCAAGGCCAAATCGCTTTGGAAAGAAGATAATGCTCTGCGTTTGGTAGGATCAGGAAGGTGTGGTATATTATGAGCTTCTAAAACCAGATGAAACCGTAAATACTGTTCTCTACTGACAACAAATAATCAATTTGAACTATGCTTTGATCATGAAACGACCAGAACGGGCCAGAAGACACGGCAAAGTAATTTTACTTCCTGATGATGCACCATCACACACTTCAAAAACAGTTAAAGACACGTTAAAAGATCTTGCCTGGGAAGTATTAACCCACCTGCTGTATCCACCAAACCTTGCTCCTTCAGATTACCACTTTTTCCAATAGATGGCACACACACTTTCTGAGAAGCACTTCAAAACGTACAAAGAAGTGGAAAATTGGGTCTCTGAATGGTTTGCCTCAAAACAAGAAAAGTTCTATTGGGACGGTATCCACAAATTACTTGAAAGATGGGGGAAATGTGTAGCTAGCGATGGACATTACTTTGAATAAAGCACTTTTGATGTTTCTCTTAAAATTATTGTGTTTTCTTTGATTACAAAATCTGCATTATTAACTGATACACCTAGTAAGTGGAACAAGTCAATGTTTCTCTCTCAAATCAATAAAAATTTGTTTAAAATAAGTTATTACAGGCTGTGGGTTGCCTTCACTAGTACTGATAACACATTCTTCTACATTTATATTTTCAAAATTGAAAATAAAGGTGGGAATAAGATCTTTCTTCAATGCATTGGGTATGTTGTATTTTAGAGCTTATATGGGCAGTAGTGTTCAAAGGGTGAAGTAGTGGGATACTGCCCAACAGGAAGGAATATTTTATCACTGTCATTGTTTACCTTGATGCTGAAAATAAAAAGCAGATGACTTTTCATAAGGTTTAGTGTTTTTAAATTCTCTACAAACACTGCCCCCCTTATTGTCTGTACCAGCAATGAGTGCTTCCATTCCTTGCTCTTGGATTGCAGTGCATACATGACACCACATAATGGAATAGTGTTTGATTTTTATAATGACCTTCATGTTGACCCCAAGAATACCCCAATATGGAAGTAATTAGAACAAGATAAATTATAGAAAGCTCAGAAAAACTTGATGTCATAATATTGGCTTTTGATATTCTACATAGCTCTTATTTGCCTCTTTTTTATATTTTTTTCTAGGAATTTCCACAATGAATTAAGAGAATTGCCACTATTTGAAATGCTAGCAGTGTAACTTAAACCCAAATATACTGAACTAGACTTAGGAATTAGGTTTTTCTGGTAAATTATTACACACAGCTCTACTTAGTTATCTCCATAGTACTTTAAAAGAAAAATACAACAATCTCACATATTTTGTTATAATGAGCAAGATCTTTATATTCCCAAGGAACAAAACCATTCACAACAAAAGAGTAGAAAACATTTAAGAATGTATATTTATGTTTGTTGGAAATTTAAAGCTATTATTAGTTAATACTTGTGTAATTAAAGTAGAACAAAAGAAAAAAAAGTAGAATGAAATGTACTTTGAAATAATATTCATATACTGTATTGAGTTTTCAAGCTTATTACAGTACACACAAAGCAAAGTATAATTTTTCAAGTCCAAAATGGTCAATGTTAGAAGTTATTTAATCTGAGGGAGCCTTTTAAAAGAACTACTTTTCTGACCCCCAAACCCTCTCCAATTACCAACAACAAATTATAGGCAAATTATAGCTTTACTTACCCCTCATTCCCCACAGTGTTCTAGGATTCAAATAGCTCTGATAAGAAGAAGAGATAAAGAGATTTATTTTAAAGCATTTCATAGATCAGCAAAGAATTTTAAAAAATATTTTGAGCAAATATATTTTCTCTGGCAATAGCGCTGAAACATCTTCAATCTTTGGCTATTTCTAAACCCTAAAGAATACTCTTAGGTAGTACTGATTTTGCCATTTGAAATATACATCCCGGTTTTTTATATTGGTTCCTCTTCCTGAGATTACTATTAATTCAGGATTATATGAAAAGAAGCTGCTGTAAGCAGAATATAAAAGGAAAACGTGGAACCATTCAATAGAAAATGATAAACAGTTTTGGATAAATTCCAACAACCATAACATAGACCAAAGTAAATAGGACTTTAGTGATTTTACCATTGATGAACCACAAAAAGCATGCCAAAACAAACATTGTATGCATTAATTGACAGGATTTATCTTTATAAAGCAACTAGAGGCCTGATGCACGAAATTGGTGCAAGGGGCTCTGCCCTCGCAGCCCCGGCTTCGTCCGGAAGGTCGTCCAGAAGGTTGTTCAGCTGTCTGGTCTAATTAGCATATTACACTTTTATTATTATAGATACTTAACTATTTTGCTTAATTTTGCTCTCGGCTAGAGTATTCCTGATTTTTTTCTACTGAAAAATATCTTGATAAAATATTTCCATTTCCATTCATGGTTACAAACCAGCAGCTATTGGCCTACCTTGAGAGGCTGAATTGATGTTATTTATTTTTATTTGTGGCCTGCAGTGGTATTTTATTAACCACCCTGAAAAGGAGTGGAGAGTTAAGCTGAATTCAACGGATTTATCCTATCTAATAATAGACAAACATGGTAATTAACCGTACCTCCGACACGCTTCCCATTGGCTAATTAGGGCGATATGCAAATTAACTGCCAACCAAGATGGCGGCCGGCAGCCAGGCAGCTGAAGCGAACAGGAGGCTTGCTTGCTCCAGTGACGGAGGAAGCCAAGGTTCCCCGCCTGCCACAGCCGGCTCTGAGCTCCTGAAGCAACAGCTCCAAAAGATACAATGTTTCAATTATAGAAGCTAAAAGATGGCGGTTAATTTGCATATACCAGCTGCGAGCGAAGACGGAGGACAACATGGAGGCCAAGCGGTACAGAAGGGAGCTAAATAGAGGCCCCGAGGACAGAAACGGAGCCAGGGCTGCGGAGGTGGGAGGTGGGAGGTGGGAGGGCAAGCCCAGCCGCAGCGGCTGGGAGCGGGAGGGCAAGCCCAACCACTGTGGCTGGGAGCATAAGGGGCAGCGGCTTGGGGGGGAGGGGCAGTGGCTGGGAATGGGAGGGCAAGCCAAGCCCCAGCCACTGGGATCGGAAGGGCAAGCCCAGCCCCAGGGGATGGGAGCAGGAGGGCAAGCCCAGCCGCAGGAGATGGGTGTGGGAGGGCAAGCCCAGCCCCAGCGACTGGGATCAGGAGGACAAGCCCAGCCCCAGCGACTGGGATCAGGATGGCAAGCCCAACCACTGTGGCTGGGAGCATAAGGGGCAGTGGATGGGGGCGGGAAGGCAAGACCAGCTGCAGGGGCTTGAAGCGGGAGTGAAGCCCACCTCAGCAAGTTTCGCTCCCTTCCAGCTGCACGAAGCCCTATTTTTGCAGGAATATTCCTGCAACGGGCCTCTAGTAATCTAATAAAAGACAAATATGAAAATTGATCGTACCTTTGCTATGCCTTAAGCCACACCCACCAGCCAATCAGAGCGACTATATGCAAATTAACCCAACCAAGATGGCGGCCGGCAGCCACAGAGCTGGAGCAAGCAGGAGGCTTGGTTGCTCCAGTGATGG